CCCCCGCACGGCACACGAGTGGCGACCGGCGGCTCTGACAGCTGGCTTTGGAGTGTAGGGACATGGACTTTTCCTTCCGCGTGATGTACGAGCACTTCTCGCACTTAAAGATCTGGCTCTCTGACTGCACCACCAGCATCTGCACCCTGCCCTCCAGCACCAGTGTCTCCGCCTGCTCCTTGTCCTGCTTCCGCAGCGCCTTTAGCACTGACTCTGAGCCAGCCTTTGCATCATCACCAGAAGTGGCCACATCCTCCAGGGTGGGGGGGCGGCTCTGCTCAGCTGTCTTCACCACACTGAGCCAGGCCTCTGGCAGCTCAGCTTGGCCATTCTCTCTCATCTCAGTGTCTGCAACCAGCTTGTGGAGGTCCGAGCATGACCCCTCGAAGTTGCCCACGTTCTCCCCGACGGCATCTTTTCCCTGGCCGTCTCCCGCCACAACACCACTCTCCAGCCTCACTGCTCCATCCCTGTGTGTATCTGCCTCGTCCTCCTCAAAGTCTGGGATGTCTTCGAGTGCATTGTCATTGTCTTCCAAACCAAGGTCATCCTGGGAGCCCAGCACCTCATAGGCTGCAGGAGGCTCCTTGCAAGCCAGCATTTCCACGCTCTCTGGCTGCGATGAGCAGGCATCTCCAGCCAAATGCTCCAGCACGGGGTTGGACGAGACGTGCAGGGTCTCCAAGTGCAAGGTGCAGCTCTCGACCACATCCCTGGAAGTGGCAAGCTTAGCTGAGCCTGAAGCAGGGTCAGCTTGCACACAGGAATCTCCCAGGGCATCACCAGCAACAGGACAACTCTGCTCCCCTTCACCCACACCTCTTCCCACCTCAGCGCTATCCTCCGACGCAGCAGCTTCCTGCCTAAGAAGGGGCAACACCACTGCTTGCTGGTGGCCCTCTTCCCCCTGGGACTCTAGCTGGGGTGGCCTTACTTTTGCCCACTGCTCTTTGGCAGAGAGGGGGGAGCCAGCATCTGAACGCAGGGCCACACTGAGCTCGCAGCCAAAGAGTGCCTCGGATGAGCTGATCTCCAGCTCCTTGCTGGCATAGTTTTCCAGCCAGTCCTTGTCACCAGGGACGTAACCGTGAATCTTGCGCTTGTGGAAGAAGAGGCTGGTGTTGCTGAAGGTGCAGTATGAGCAGAGGGCGCAGCGAAACTCCTTCTGCTTGGTGTTCTTGCAGTTCTCGTTGTTCAGCAGCGCCTGCTTGTACTTCGTCTGGTAGGTGCAGTACTGGCACTGGAAGATGGGCACCTGGTAGTTCTGCGAGTGCTTTGCCTGCATGTGCTTCTGCAGCTCATACTTGCGCTTGCAGGCGAAGCCACACACCTCACAGATCAGGCTTTTGCCCTGATGCCTCAGCTTGTGGCTGCTCAGCTGGTCGGCACGGTGGCACCGGTATGAACACTGGTTGCATTGGTACCTGAGGGGGAAAGCAGAGCTGGTCAGCCAACGTGAGGCAAGCTGAGCCGTGCCAGATGCACTGAGCTTTGTTTCCCCATCCCAAAACACGGGGCAGGGGTACTGTTTGGTTCGCTGGATCCAACGCTTGCAATCAAGGCAGCTCTTAACACCAGCTGTTCATCCCTACTGCAGCTCTTAGTGCTGCTGGTGCTTTGCACTCCCAGGCTGGGGACAGAAGCTAGGCTCCCTAGGCATCCCACAAAGTAACTGTGACACACGCATAAACACACACCACTTCACACCAACAGCATCTCCAGCATGCCTGCAAGCAGACTAAACCCAAAGGATGGTAAAGTGATCATTCAGAAGTGAAAACGCATGTGGGCACGCTCCTGCATGTGCACAAGGCTGCTTTGCTCATGCTCTAAGCTAGCTTTGACAGGCATCAGCAGACTCCATGACCCTGCGCTCAGAGCTGTGCTGACGCAGTAATACATTTCTCAGGGGTACTGGAACACCAAAGACAGCTTTGCCCCCACAGCACTATGTTGGCAACTCCCCAGAAGCTCAAAGACTGCATTTAATATGTACCAGTCAGTGCAGGCTGCAGCCACCCCTCAGGGATGAGGGAGCTTAGCACATGGTGCAGCCCAAAGTAGTGGGCCCCAAAGCAGGATTTGGGGAGCCTCAACTACACTGCCAGGCCAGCTGGCCTAGGTGTACTACCGGAGATCTCCGGTGTGCTTGCGCATGTGGACGTTCAAGTAATGCTTCCACTTGGTGATGTATCCGCACTCAGTGCACATGAAGTTCTTGTCATTGGAGTGGGTCAGCATGTGCTTGGACAGGTAGCTCACATCCCGGCACGTGAAGTCACACAGCTCACACTTGTGGGGCTTCTCTCCTATGGAAACACAGAAACGCTTTCAGCACGATGGCCAGGTGGGGCAGTGGGTTCTGCCTCCCACTGCAGGGAAACCGCAGCTCGGCAGGAGTTCGAGGTTGCTGGGATGGGAGCACATCATGACTCTTGGGCCTGCGGCTGGCGGAACACGCAACCAACCTGCTCACCTAATTGACACTAGGGTCCACTGGGTGACAAAGCTGGATACGGGACACAGAAGTCCAGCCCCAGCCCTCCCTGCTCACCCAGAGCAAGGATAGGACCCCATATACTGGCTAGGCTCTCAGAAGCCCCTCAGCAGACACCCACCTGTGTGCAGCAGCATATGCCGGATGAGCACCCTCTTGTGCGCAGTGGCAAAGGCGCACTCAGTGCACTTGTGGATCTTTTCATTGGCATGCATCTTGCCCACATGGTCGTGAAACTCTACAGGGTTGAAGGTGGCGAAGGGGCAAAAGCTGCACTGGAGCTGCTCGCTGCCTGGGTGCCCCTGCTTCTTGTGCTTGCGGAAGACATGCTTGTTGGAGCAGATGAAGTCACACTGCTGGCAGTGGAAAGCGTAGTGGGTTTTTCGATGAGCTTCCATGGCCTCAGCTGTGCCGAAGAGCAGCGAGCAGGCGTGGTACTTGCACTCCACCGCCTTGATGCCGTGAGCATCCTTGAGGTGACGGACAAACTCTTTCCGGTCTTCGGCACAGTAGTCACAGCCTCCCTGGAAGCAGCTCAGCCTCTTGGGCTCAGCTTTGTGAGTCTTCAAGTGCTCTTTGAGGGCCTGGCTGAGCCGAAACTTCTTCTCACAGACAGGGCAGGAGTAGACGTCAGAGTAGAAGTTGGAGATGTCCTCATGCATGCTAGCCATGTGGCGGTTGAGGGCATTCTTCTCGACTGAGCTGTAGTGGCAGAGCGGGCAGCGGTGGGCCTTCTCGCCTGTCTCCCGCATCATGTGGATTTTCAGCTTGCTTTTGCTGGTGAAGTACTTGTGGCAGTTCGGGCACTGCAGGCTGGGGTCGGGGAAGTGCAGGTGGAGGTGTTCCACCAGGTGCGTCCGCTTCTTGAAGCACCGCTTGCACTCAGGGCACATGTGGGTTTTATAGAGGTATTCTGAGCCCTCTACAATGTCCCCTGTGAGAGGCAAGAAGGGGGAGCCATCAGCAGGGACAACATGGAAAAGCAGGGCACAGGCAAACGTTCTCTCCCTAATCCAGCTATGCTGGAGCAAGGGGTTATCACATACACAGCCATGCAGCAGCTATGTGCTGGGAGGAACTGCCTGCCCCCCCCCAGCCACCATCATGGTTCAGATGGGATCTTTCCCGCTTAACACACGCAAAAGTGATCCAGCATAGCCTAAATAAGGCCTGCCCGTATGACCCTGCTCCCCGAAGCCAGGTAGCCCAACTGGCTTGTAAGGACATCCATCTCCCAGGCAGCCAGGATGTACACAGCTCCAGGCCAGCTGCAGCATGCCCTGCCTTTGGCTGAGCGGAGCCCGGTAGCAGCTAGGGACAGCCATCAGGAAAGAAGTGACATTTTTCCATGGGCAGAGGGCAGGGAATGGGGGAGAACAGCACCCTGCAGGATACACGCAGGAGATCTGAGCCGAGAGGGTCCAGGTCCAGGAGGCCATGGGATGCTCGGGTCCCACAGCCCAGCCCGTGTTTCATGACACATCTCTGTATTACCCTACTCGTTCCCAAGTAAAAGGCCTGAGCCGCTCCTAGTAGAGCCCTCTGTGTTGTACCTTTGAAGTGCTGTGCCCGGGGCACCTTGGCTTTCTCAGGAGCCTCCTTCCCATCCTCTTTGGTCTCACCCTCATAGGGGCTCTCTCCATCCTCCTCCAGCGACTCATCCCCACCGCTCTCCGAGTCCTCTTCTCCAGTTGATATCTTCTGCTCCTCCAAGGAGCCCTCCCTGGTGACAACACGTTCTGCTGGCCTGGCTACTTCTGCGGCTGCTTCCCAGCCAGGGTGGCGACTCCCTGCCTCTTCTTGCCCTTCTTCTGCTTCAAAGGAGGGACAGAGAGCACAGATCACGTTCCAGGTGAGAGGCAGCCACCAACCCTCACCCACAGAAGTTCAAGGAGCTTCCTGTACTGCAGCAAGAAAAGCTGCAGAGAGCCACTGGCCCGCAGGGCTTCCCCAGCCCTCCAACAGCACAGCCTGGACCCCCACTCCTCCCAATTGTAACTGGGATGCATGGACCCAGCCAGCCCCTGCAGCACGCACAGGCTCCAACCCTGTCCAGGACAGGCCTCCACACCCAGCCTTGCCCCTGGTCCAGCCGAGCCGTACCCGACAGCAGGATGCAGGGCTGCTCGAGACTGGTCCTGGCTGGGGCAGCCAAGCTGCAGGTGCTTTCTGTCACCTGCGTCTCAGCAGGGGGCTCCGCGGCATGGCCCTTCCTGTGCTGCCAGAAGAGCTTGGCGTTAGCAGTGACGAAGTCGCAGCGGCTGCAGTGGAAGGGGAGGTGGGTACGATGGTGCTGCTCCATGGCCAGGCGGCTCGGGAAGAGCAGGTGGCAGGTGCGGTAGGTGCAGGACACAGGGGAGGCCCCGTGCACACGACTCAGGTGGCTGCGCAGTTGCTTGCGGTCCTCCGTGGTGAAGTGGCAGCCCTTCTCAGGGCAGGGCAGGGCTCCCTGTGGGTTGCGGTGGGTCTTGAAATGCTCCTTGAGTTCACCAGGCTGTGCAAACGCTTCCTGGCAGATGGGGCACAGCAGGTGCTCGGGGGCAGAGCCCTCCTGCCCACCTGCTCCTGGTGGCTCCGAGCTCCTTGCCTTGCTCTGCTCCTCACTGGTGGGTGCCGAAAGCACCCCAGCAAGCTCCAGTTGTCCTGCGGGTGCTAGCAGCAGGCATTGGTGCTGGGACAGCAGGGAGGGCTCTGAGAAGCTCTGGTCGCACCTCTCGCAGAAATACAGCTCCATCACTTTGACCAGCACCTCTGCACAAAGCCAAGGGTGAGCATTAGAAAGAGCTTTTGCGTGCCCCAGAGCTCGGGACTAGCTGTTTAACTCTAGTTTGGGACACGGAAGATAAAACTGTAACTCATAGTCACAGGGTTTTAAGAACTACAGCCTTCCCCCGACCCTGGGTGTCCCAGGATGCGTGCTCCCATCAGAGGGGGGATAGCATCATCCAGGCAACCACAAAGGCCAGATCACTCCCTTAGCACCTTCTAGGCACCCCAAGCTGTGAGATCAGCTCAGCTCTGTTTCCAGCAGACATTGGACATGGGTGCAAACCATGCTGGGAGAGCCAGCAGGCTCCGGGATGGAGATCTCTGCCTGGGACAGTCCAGAGCAATCCCACCAATGGGCACAGGGCTCGTGTAGGCACCCTTCCCGCCTGTACACCCAGCTTGTGCTGCAGCTGGGCTGAACAGCAGCACTGCACTCAGGAGGATTGCAGAGTCAAAGACACAAGGGCACCAAGATGCCCCAGGGTGCTAGCTAGAAGGGACAGGGCTGGAGGGTGACCCCACATTGCCCTGGCTGGACTTCTCTCCCTCCAGTGAGTCCCAAGAACCCCACGCTGCCCTCCCCACACGCCGTACCTGTGGCATTGGCCGCATTGCTCAGTGTCACATTGCCAGCCACAGCCTCAATGAATATTTCCATACTGCTTTCTTCTGCATGAGCCCCTTCTCCAGGCATCGAGGCCTCAGCCAGCAGCAACCTCTGGCTCATAGTCAGTGGAGGTGTCCCAGTTAGGCCAGCGCTGGCAGCACCTGGGCTTCCCACGGCTCCTGAGGCTCCTGGCGTGGGCAGGAGCAGCTCCGAGCACAAGACCTCCATTTCCCTGCCAGCAGCCTCAGATGCAGCCATTTCCACACTCACTGCCTTTTATCTGTTGCCGGGCACTGGCTCTGTGCCAGGCAGGAGGATCTATGGCTCTGAAACAGATGAAAGAGCTTAAATGAAGGTGAATCCAGGAGCCCAGGGGTCCCATAGGACCAGGGATCCCAGCACTGCCTGTCTTGAAGGTCTGTGGGGTAGGGGCCTGCAGCCAGCCCTGCTCTGCACAGCGCCAAGTGCATCTGAGCCACAGCAAGGGCCATGCCACAGCAGCAGGTAGGAAACAGCACCCTGAGCGTGCAGCACATGGGTGAGAGCTGCAGGCTTAGACATGCTGGAGGCATCCCAAGTCGTGCAGCACACAGTGCAGCACCAGCCCTCAGTGGTTCAGCCAGTCCGACTATGAGACGGCCCCAGGGACACAGCCAGGTCCTGATGTCACAGCCCAGACCTGCCTGAGCAGAGGCACCGACAGGATCATCCCCGTGACTGGCCTCAGCCCCATCACCCATCTGAGATCTACTCAGGGCCGGGCCTGGATTCCTCCCCAGTCTGGGTGCCTGCAGAGCCAGCACCCACCAGCACTGCCCACCCAGATCCACCAGCAACTGCGGCGCCCATAGCGCTTCACAGGGACTCAGGCTTGGCCTTCGCTCCAGGAATCCCTGAACACCAGCTGTGACAATAAGGCTATTTCCAGTGTGAGGGTCCCATCCAAGCACCTACGTGACCCTTGTGTCCCTTCAGCAGGGCAGCGCCCGGGCACCTCTGCAAGATGCATGGCGAGGGCCAGAAGCCGCAGACACACAGAGCCCCTTGTGGCACACATCCCTGGCCCAAGGAACACTCTCGCAGCATGGAGGTCTTCACAACACCGGCAGTCTCCCTGGATCTTATCTCACACGCTGCAGGAGCGCATGCAGACAGCGGACGTGCAGAGGGATTGAAGACAGTGCCCTGTTTGCAGTGCATAGTACCCCAGGAGCCCTCTTCCCAGGGGGCACGTGAAGTCCCCCAGACCTACTGCCTTATCCTTCCTGCCAAACCTGCCTAACCCCCTTCAGCACCTTCACACTCTCCTCGATTGCCTCTTTTCCCTGCCCTAAGTAGGTAGCAGCGGTGCCAAGAGCACCTGAGCATGAGATGGCCAGCTGTGCCCCACTGCAGTCACCCATGGGTGCTGGGAGGCTCAAAGGGAGCTGTGCCTGGCTCACCCGGGGACCCTCAGAGCCCTGGGACACAGGGCAACGCAGACCCCATGTGAGGTTGGTGCTAGCCCCCTTCTTGCCCTCCAGCCCCCGGCCATGGCCCAACCTCCAACTACCCTCCTGTAGGAAGCTTTGTCTATCAGCACCTATCTCCTAGGGGGGCCCTCACCCATGGGTGCTTCCTTGCCCCTCTGTCCTGCTCCCCAGGGGATCGCTGCTCTTCTCCCTCACCCTAAACTCCTGTGGGGAACCCCTTCCCCTGTCCCCCACCCCTCAGAGGAAGGCCCCTGCCCTGTATCACCCTGCATCTCCCCCAGCGCTCCCTCCCAGAGGAGGGCTCCCTCCATGCCTCAAGATACTCTCCAAACCCCCTTCCCCACCCCCCCACCAAACATCCCCTCCCCAGGGCACCCCC